ACCATCACAAGGTGCATTAAATTCCCCCATGCTCTTTTTCCAATAAAAAAACTTAAGCTTTCAGTAGTGATTGACGTTTTTATATCTTGGGGGATATAACCAAAAGTAGAATGAATCCTCTTAGTTCATTCGCTAAAAGGAGCGTCGTTGGGACTCTCCTGTAAACATACTCACTCCGGCCAAAAGACTCACCCTTAATAGATATATTCATTTTTAATTGAGGGACTCACCTTAGACTGTGGTACTTGTCCATTTTCAAGAGTATCGTCAACTCAGGGACCCATCTGGGGTGAGAGGTACATCACGAACGCAAAAAGTGTCTTAAAAAACTTCGCCCTTAGATAAGCCCTCGTGCTTGAGGGATTATGTAGTGTTATATTGGTGAAGATCCTAAACTAGAGCGCCCTCGCCCAAAAAGTTATATCTCCCATGAGATATATTGAAGACTCGCCTAGTGGTACCGATAACGTGTAAAGATGTCAGTCAAAGGAGAAGGAAACTCCACAACTCCTTAAAGATAGGTGGTCAATTACTTCTCCTGATCAGGGGAGGTATAAATCTTAAGTTATACAAATCATTACATCCCTCGTAAAACATATCGCTTAACTCACATCTATCACACCTTCAAATACCCCAAATTTTTCCCTAAGATTTGTCGTGTCATCTTGCATTCCATTGCATTTTTTGCATTGTATTTAACCAGTCACTAACAAGTTCGGGTAGTCGGTTGATTTTTGAAGGGCAAAACGGTTATTTGTTCGCAGCTGGCCGACAAATTATGAATTATGAACTGTAGGCGGGAAAGTTGGGTCGTTTGATGTGGTTGGCGTGAATCAGGGCCGACATGTAGTTGGATTTGTTTGATTGTGAAAGATTTGAGATGGGTAGAATAAAATCGATTCAAGTTATTGGATTGCTATCCGGAGCATATGGGTAGTTGATTTAATCAGACAGTTGGAGTTAGTCGGATAAAGTTGCTCATTTTGAATTGCAGGAAGATGTAATCGGAAGTTATGTCGGGAATGAGATTGGTCGGATAAATTGGGATAACTAGGGCTTTCATTTCAGTGTTCATTTTCTATTCTAAATTAATGTGTCGTCTTTTTTTTATTCAATCATATTTCACTTTCGTAAATTAGTTTCATTGCCTTTTTAAAAATCAATCATATTTCCTCTTTCAGGTTAGTTTCATTGCATTTTTAAAAATCTCTCATATATCATATTAAAATAAAAAGGGTTGTTTCATTACTCAAAGAAAATTCATTTCTATGTCGTTTTTGTTTTAGTCTCACTTCCCTTTGTCATCTCATTCCTATTTCTTCTAAATTAAGGTCATTTTTAATATTATTTTCATTTAAACATTTGTTTGCTAAGTTTATTCTTATTATTTATTTGCATATCAAAAACAAACTAAAAATAATAATATTTTAAAGAAAAATATAAATGATTTTTATTATTAATAATATTCCTTTACAAAAAATATATGCATATAGATAAAAATTACAAAAAATAATAAATAAATCAATTACAAAAAAATATAAACAAATTTGTCCTAAATCTTTTCCTAATGTCCTAACCCATCTCTTCGTCCCGATTTTGGCTTTTCTCCGACTTTCCTCTGAACCTGCAATCAAAACAACCGAGCCATTTTATCAGGTTAGAGTTTTTCCGATGCCCTCAGAATGGTATCATCATCGGGCGTGTCGGGAGGGCAACAGATTACTCTGAAGCCGGCTCCCGATTCGATTCTCGGCCAATGGCATATCCGGCAGCAATCTGTTCTTAGTTCCGAGGCATACGAGAAAGAGACGAAGAGATAATAAAAGTACTTCTGAAATAAGCTGGTTCGAAAAGCACTTATGGAAAAGCGCTTATTCAAAAAAAGCATTTGTTCCAAATAGATTTTCGCCAAACAGCCGTTAACAGTTCAGAAAAACCAGTTTAAACCAGTTCAGAAAAAACCAGTTCAAACCAGTTTAGTCCCACAAACCGTTTCAACGAACAATAGCAAAACGAGCCAGTAAATCCAGTCAAACAACCATTCGAAAATTCAGGCAAGAACAAATCCAACAAAATCTCCGGAAAGTTTCCTTCAAGAACAAATCAAAGCCCACAATGAATTCAAAGAGGATATAAATAGTTCATGAAGGGATCCGAAGAAACCCTCAAAGCGAAAGCGGCGGCTCAGAGAATCAGGAGGATTCATCATCATTGTCGGGTTCAGAAAACTCTGAGAGCCTTCATCATCACCCAGTTGGAAGGAAGAAGAAAGAAGACCCGAAATTGAAAAGGGTCGCGAGTAACGGCCTAGTAACGAGTTGAACGGAGACCGCGAATCCGTTAGAGGAATCACTACCGTCGTCGCTCAAACCGCTGGAGGCCTCAGAGGTCCTCATCACCGACCATTTTTCGTCCAGAAACCCAGAACGAGAAACCAAAATCGAAGCCTCATCATTAACGGATCAACGTCGGGAACTCGCGGCGGCCGTGGATCCTTCCGATTGCCACTACTACCGGGACCCATTGCCGTCATCCTCAGTTTACAAACATCATCGGATACTCAATCACCGCAAGTCGTAGGTTGAAGAGTGAGTTTCCTCGATTTTATTTGATATTTTCGGATCGTGTTTCAGATATCAAGAACGAAATATCGTACATGCAAATTGGTCAAAAGGAAGCAAAGCTCCATCGAGCTACATCAATGGAGGTCGCGGAGCGGAAGAAGAAGAAGATAAAAATATCAACAAGCAAACGGAAAAAGCTCGGAGGGAGATTCAATGGAGGTTCCGCCGGCGCGAGAAAGGAGAACGAGAAAAATAGTCGCGACGCTTAGAAGAAGGAGAGGAGTTTGGGGTTAAAACCCTAGACTCATTCTTAGTTTTTATTATGTTGGTTCTATTTGGTTTTATATTTTTTCTATTTATTTAATAATGGTTAATTAAGTTAGTAAACCTGAATTATTATTAACCTATTAATTTTTATAAATTAAGACTAAGACTTCAGTTAGCAAAAACAAATCAATCACAAATTTGTTTTTAGTTAACATCAAAACAAAACTTTTTCTTAATCACATTAACATAAAAGCTGTTTTTTTCTTAACTTAAAATTAATACAATTTTCCCAATTAAACCTTTAAACCAAATATTTTTTTAAAAACAAACATTTTCTAATTAAGAACCTTAATTAAAATACTTTTTCTTTAATAAAAATAAAACAAGAATTTTTAGAATAGGTTCTCCATTAAAGCCTAAAGTCGATTCCCCTCTTTTCAATAAAAATTCAAAAAGAAATAAAGTTTCTGTTTAGCCGTTTCATTTTCGTCTAACCCCATTTGTTTGTTCGCTGCAGCTCTTCAATATTTCATTTATTCGTGCTATTTTTTGGCATGGATGTAATTTATGCGAGGCCATGATCGCAGTTATTTTTATTTTCGCATTTGTGTTGGATTTGTAATTTACGCGAGTGATCGTCGCGATACTTTTGTTTTACAGCTTTCTTTATTTTTCGTACTTTAATTCTGTCTTGTGATGATATCCGTTGTTTGCATGTTTTTACCATTAATTTCCCTTTCGAAGGATTAAGTCTAGCAGTTTGACCGCCGAGTCAATAGTCTTACCATTTGAAGGTTTCAAAACCCTAATTAGCCTAGGTGTCCCGCCGTGGACGAAAATGCCCTTTACCCCAACGTTAGGTCAAAGAGTCGTCGTACTCAGTTTTAGGGTTTCCCGCCGTGCAATCTCTAATTTAACCCTAATTTCAACTTGCAATTCAACGTAGAAATAGGAGTTTCAAGACTCCACGTAAGCGTGTCCTTAAGATACGTTTAGTCCCTTTGAAACCTTGACCACAGTCAAGAAGTTTCTAACCTCCCTTTCGAGGGGAACTACAATTACTCTGATTCCATTCCCATCAGGATATGTAGGCACAAGATGTGACGTCTTACCGAGTAAACTTAGGACTAACCCTTAGGTCTTTTAGGTCACTCTATCCCTTAACTCAGTATATATACGTAAAGCGAATAATAAAGCAAAAATAGCAAAAATAAACAAAAGGTTCCTGTAGAGTACTACAGAAGCTTAGGGTGCTAATACCTTCCCTAAGCTTAACCAACCCCTTACCTAGGTCTCTCCCCGCATTGTGTTTACGATGCAAAAATAGGCTTTCCCTCTTTTGACCTTTTCCTTCGGATAAATCAAAGTCGGTTGTGAATCAAGAATTGTGATTCAAACTAATTAATAGTTTGATATCCTATTTCCACCGCAACAATATGCATAAGCGCTCCATTCATATACAAAGCCTCTCACCTCACATGAGCAGGACTTCTAAAATCATCATAAAACATCACTGTACAGGAGTTCTCACCGTCGTGGGAAAGCTTTAAGCAACTACAATTATTATAAATCTACTAAGTCTTCTAAATCTCTCAACCCTTACAAGAAAAACACACATGCGCTTTTTGACTAATATAAATATAGTTAGAAAATTAATCCTCCAGACTATGAATTTTTAATTGTATGTGAACATGATATTAAAGATTTAAAATATTGAAACCACAATAACAAATTTAAAATTGGGGATTAAAGTCCCAATCAGGCAAAATAAGAGGACTAAGATGCAATTAAACTAAAATTATATTGAAAGGAAAAAGTGTGAGAAAAGAGAGTTTGTTCTTACCAAGTGAGTAATAAAGTCAAACAAGTGGATGCGGTTTCAAATTTGTGTACGTTAGCTGTTCCGACAAAAACACTGAACAAACAAAGCTGCTGCTGCTGCTGCTAGGGTTTATCCCTCCTTTTCAATCTTCACCCCATCGCCTTCAGGTTCGATTTTCTCTTCTCTCATACTTCTCTATTCAAATTCAAACCTCTTAATTTCTCTTCTCTCATTGAAATTCCAAGCTACGTCATTTTTTTCCTCTTCACTTGGAAAACCTTTGTTAATTGTTGAGTTTGTGTTCTTTCTGAGTTGTAGGTTTTTGATTCGATTTTTCAGCGGAAACAATGACTCGCGTGTATATTGGAAATCTGGATTCACGGGTTTCTGAGAGGGATCTGGAAGATGATTTTCATGTTTTTGGAGTTATACGAAGGTAACTGTAGTGTGAAACTGGGAACTAGGTCACTGAGTAGTATCATATTTCTCAGTTGGGTTTTAGGTTTGTGAATTTTTCTATTTTTCTTAGTAGTTTTGGTTTGAAATTGCGGTTGAATTAATGGAATCTTAATGTTGTTTGTGTAGTGTGTGGGTTGCAAGGAGGCCTCCTGGTTATGCTTTCATTGATTTTGATGACCGCAGAGACGCGCTGGATGCTATCCGCGAATTAGATGGTATGTTATGTTGAGAAGCCTTTTTGAGTTATTATATTTTGTGAGTCTTACTTTTTCACAAATTTCAAGTATGTTTTGGCATGGATTGTATTGAAATAGATGTATTCTGGTTCGACCATAGGGTTTTTGAAAATTTTCAGCAGTGTTTTATTTTTGGTAGGGGTTTTTTTTGTTTGAATTCTGAAATAGGGATTGGTATTTCTTTTCACTCTATTTAATATTTTTCCTCCATGGAACAGGTAAAAATGGTTGGAGAGTAGAGCTTTCTCACAACTCTAAAACTGGAGGCGGAGGAGGGGGAAGAGGTGGCGGCGGTGGTGGTCGTGGTCGGTCTGGTGGGGGTGGTTCTGATTTGAAATGTTATGAGTGTGGTGAACCTGGTCATTTTGCCCGCGAGTGTCATTCTTCTCGTGGCGGTGGAAGACGTCGGAGCCGTAGTCCACCTCGATTGCGTAGGAGCCCAAGTTATGGGCGAAGGTGAGATTGCTATATTATGATGCTATTGGGATTGGGACTTCTATACATGGTTTTATTGTGTTGAAGATAAACTACATGCCATTCTTCCTTAGTTCATAAAAAATGAAACTGTTCCTTTGTTTTTTGTGACTGGCCATAACTTGTTTTTTGAGCAGAGTAATTTCCTTTTTTCATGATTTGGTGGTCGTATTTGTTTTACACATGTTTAAATTAAAGTGTTTCATTTTCACACCTTTTAATTGATATTTACCAGGAGTTACAGTCCTCGTGAGCGGTCCCCTAGGCGGCGAAGCCCATCTCCTCGTCGTCGTAGCCCTTCACCTCGTCGCCGCAGCTACAGCAGGTCACCCCCTCCTTACCGTGAACGTGAGGCCGTAGCACATGCTAACGGGTGAGGTTCCATCTCTCTCTGCCTGGGTTTAACTTGGTATCACTTGATGGTTGTCTGTTATAAACTTGTGTTTTCTTTCAACTAGATGGATATGTAGACTTTATTTCTTGATATCTTTTCTCAAGTCTAATTTGTATTGAAGTGCTCTTAGGTTATATAGAGAGTCGCATGCTCTGGCATTTTTCCCTCTTCTCCTTTTGGTCCCTTTTTACCAAAAATCTCGTGTTTGCTCTAAATTTATGGTATCTTCTCTCTATATATCTGTAGCAGCAGAGGAACGAAAACAAAATCTGATTTTAATAATAGGGCATGGAATATTTGCTTGCTTGATTTTTCGGTCTGCAACCTTAAGATGCAAAAGTCGTGTCGTGTCAACTTTTAGTATGTAAGTTTAAGATGCATAAGTTCTGCGTGTCAACTTTTAGTGTGCAAGCTTTAGGTGCATAAGTATGCAACTTTGAGTTTCTAATTATTTAGTTCTGCTATAAGTATTGTTACTAAGCATTTTTGCTGAAATATGATGTCCATATTGTGCAGAAATGGGATAAGGGATGCACCTCGAAGCAGAAGTTGATTTTTAAAAGTCGGTAACTGCGCCTGTTCAGAAGATAATGAAATATTGTTAATCTAGTGTTTTCAACTGCAGTACACGTCTGTTTTGTTGGGCAGTGCCCTGAGCTTCTACCCTAAATGGTTTAGTTACTTTCTTGATTTAATGGCTTGTGTTATGTTATCTACACCGAATTCTTCGAGTTTTGTTGCAGGTAAAACAATTCTTTAAGAGTAGTTGCTTTCTAGTAGTTTGTTAAAAATTGTTCCGGATCTTGCTAAAATATATGCTTTTCTTCTGATTGAGGTGTCTTCTGGTACTGCCGCCTTGGTTTTGTGCTTCTACGTTCACTGGGATATATCCTCCCTACACGCCCTCTGTGATTTTGAATGATTGTTATTCCAGCCAGGCTCCTACAAGCTTTATGTTTCTTGAATCTCGCCACTTGTGCACACCTCAAACTCTAACAGCATGTTTTTTAATTAAATTATAAGTGAGTGATTGATGACATCAAATCTGTATTTTATAAAAGTTGGGCTTATAGATTTTACCCCTACCTGTGTTGTGAATCTTATGATAATGAAGATGGAAATTGATGGAGCACCAGAAATCCCACTTAGTACAGCAATATACATCTTGTCACACAGACTCCTAATGAACGACTCTTCTGTTTAATTTTGGCACAATAATATGCCACAATTACCAGACCTAATATAAAGCTTTTCAGTAAACAAGGTATCAATTCATGGCACGATCAACTAAAGCCAAGAAAAAACATTGAAGTTGAATATTGAAGAAGCATGACATTGGACATTACTAAGCTATTGCTTTATGAGACAATATGTGAATTGCAAACATTTGTTTATGCAGTTCGGGCAAACATAGTTTCGTATAACTTTTTGAATAAATTAGAGTTTGAATGTTACGAGTTAGATTACAAGTATATCTTGCCAGCCCGGCTCCCCGGCATGCAAATGAGTTATCTCAAGCTTTAGTAATAGTATAGATAGCATATTTATGTTGAATTGTTTCTTTCTTGTGCTAAGGCACCTATGATGGTACAATTGATCACATTCTTCCCGTTGAATGAGGCTCAGTTCTTGCAGAGTGAAGGAGATTCTGAATCTGGACCCACTCAACTATATATGGTTATTATTTTATCACTTCTTCATGCTTTAGCCATGAAAATAAATTATTGCTATCATAAGTTAGTTGCATAAAGAACTAAAATATGAAACACCAAAATAAACTCTTTCACATGTTCTACTTTGATAAAAGAACGGCAAGAAAAAACTGCACCTAAAATCTGTCCTAAAAAATCATGATACATGCAATTATATCAATGTTTTAAAACCAAACTGTACACATTGAATCTGCATTGATTTAACCACACTCGACCAACCGCAGTTCAACCAGACTACAATGTAATGCGAATAAAACCATTTAGCATTTTTGGGTTCAACCGTCTGAATCTATGACTTTCATATGTGAGTAAATCTATAGATGGATATGATTTTTCAGCTACTTCTATTTTGTTACTTGTTAAAAAATCAATAAATAAGCAGTTTATGATGGTAAGCACGTTGCTGATACACTTGTATATTGTATTGTAATTCCATTCTGCATTATAATAATCTATTTTTAGCTATGTTAGTGGGAGGCAGTTTTTTTGGTTAACTTCACAAGTCAAACCCATGTTGTCCAAATCCTCAAAACTCTCATCTTTCAATGTTAATTCATTCATATAGCTTATTCCATAATCCAAAAAAGTTCATAACACGTTTTTGTTGATCCAAAAAACAATGCAGAAACGAAACAGTTGACTCATTAGAGCTTGTTTTTCATCTTTATGGTGTGAGCATTTCAAGAATAGTTCATCTTAAGTATTGATGGAGCTCAAAAATGAGAAACTAGTCAGGTATATTAAGTCTCTACTATTTGATTTCTCGTGTTTTTCTCTCTATGATTCTCATTGCGACTTTGCATTGGTTTGAAAACTCGCAGGTTCTCGAACGATGGAAAGCTTAATCTTGAGAAGCCGATGCAAGTTTACAAGTTTCAGAAAATTGTTAAACCGAGAGGAAAAACTAGTAGCGGCGATATTGATATTGATATTGATAATGATAATGATAAGAACAGAATGAGTATCAAGTTTCCGACTTTTGGAAAGTTTAAGGTTTTTCAGGAAAATCATGAACCATGGAAGGAAAGAATTCTTGATCCAGGAAGTGATTTATTTCTCGAGTGGAAACGAGCTTTTTTGTTTTCCTCCATACTATCACTTTTCGTTGATCCGTTGTTTTTCTACCTCCCGTCCGTATCAATAGAACCTGATAATAAGAATTTGTCGTGCATGGTTACTGACTTGAATTTAGGAATCGTCGTCACGTGTTTCCGGACATTCGCCGATGTTTTCTATCTACTCAACATGGTCATTAAGTTTAGGACAGCCTTTGTGTCACCAAGTTCAAGGGTTTTTGGAAGAGGCGAGCTTGTCATGGACCCGAGGTTGATTGCGAGACGGTATATGAAATCGGAGTTTTTCTTAGATCTTTTAGCTACATTGCCTCTTCCTCAGGTACCACGTCTGCTTCAATATACCAATTATAGTTTTTGTATATTTTCTCAAAGAGATGTTATATGTCTGGTTTTCTTTGTTGACAGATTGTGATTTGGTTTATCATGCCAGCGATTCGAAGCTCTCATGCCGATCATACGAACAATGCACTAGTACTGATTGTTCTTCTTCAATATGTTCCTAGATTGTATATGATTTTCCCGTTAAGTTCTCAGATTGTTAAAGCTACCGGAGTTGTCACAAAGACGGCTTGGGCCGGAGCTGCTTATAATCTATTACTTTACATGTTAGCTAGTCATGTACGTCGATTTTTCTTCATTCATCGCAAATTTTCTTTCGTGATTTTCTCGATATTTCACAATATTATTATTACAAAACAATTCTTATATATGCTTGTAGGTGTTGGGGGCATCATGGTATTTACTGTCAATCGAGAGGCACGCGACTTGTTGGAAATCTGAATGCAGAAATGAAAACTTACCTGTGAAATGTGTTCTCGACTACCTTGACTGCAGTAGTATAAACAATAACGGTCGCGTGAAATGGATGAATACTACTTCTGTGTTTAGTAACTGTAATCCGGAAAGTAGCACAGATTTCAAGTATGGAATTTTCGGAAATGCAGTCCAAAATAATGTTCTGTCCTCTGTGTTTATAGAGAAGTACCTGTATTGTTTGTGGTGGGGATTGCAGAATTTGAGTTCCTATGGCCAGAGTTTGAGTACAAGCACATTTGTTTGGGAAACTGCATTTGCAATACTCATAGCTATCTTAGGTTTGGTTTTGTTTGCTCATTTAATTGGTAACATGCAGGTAATTAGAGTTTCTAAATCTTCAAAATTATGCATTGAAGCATTTCAATTTTTTGAACTGTTATATGTATTCATAAGCAAGCATGTTTGAACCAATGCAGACATATTTGCAATCTATTACTGTGAGGCTTGAAGAGTGGAGGCTCAAGCGACGTGACACGGAGGAGTGGATGAAACATCGCCAACTCCCGGAGTTTCTTAGAGAGCGTGTTCGGAGATTTGTTCAGTATAAATGGCTTGCAACTCGAGGTGTTGATGAAGAAACTATCCTAAGAGGCCTCCCTACAGATCTCCGTAGAGATATCCAACGTCATCTTTGCTTAGACCTTGTTCGACGTGTATGTTCGTGACTTCAATGCAATACATGTTTTAATAGTTTTCTTGCATTTGAATTATAATAGTTTGGTGAAGTTTATGATTCACAATGCAATATCTTTCTCTGCCGATTACAGGTTCCATTTTTTTCGCAAATGGATGATCAACTACTTGACGCAATATGCGAGCGATTGGTATCATCTTTGAGTACTCAAGGCACATACATTGTCAGAGAAGGAGATCCAGTTACCGAAATGCTTTTTATCATCAGAGGGAAACTCGAAAGCTCAACCACAAATGGTGGCAGAACCGGTTTCTTTAACTCTATTACCTTAAGGCCTGGTGATTTCTGTGGAGAAGAGTTACTTGCTTGGGCATTGCTTCCAAAATCTACTCTCAACTTGCCTTCTTCTACAAGAACAGTTAAAGCCCTTGTTGAAGTTGAAGCCTTTGAACTTAGAGCAGAAGATCTTAAATTCGTGGCAAATCAGTTTCGACGTCTTCACAGCAAGAAGTTGCAGCATACGTTCCGTTTCTACTCTTACCATTGGAGGACATGGGCTGCTTGTTTCATTCAGGTCGCTTGGCGCCGGTTCAAGAAGAGAGTCTTGGCAAACAGCCTTAGCCTAAGAGAATACAAGTCCTTCATCGATGAACAAGCAAGATATCGAATGGAACACGAGAAAGAAGAGCGCGGTTCAGTAACTTCAAGCACTGCACAAGTAAAACAGAATCTTGGTGTCACTATATTGGCTTCAAGATTTGCTGCAAACACAAGGAAAGGGGTTCAGAAGATCAAGGATGTAGAGATGCTCAAGTTGCAAAAGCCTGAAGAGCCAGATTTCTCGGTCGATCACGAAGAAGATTAAGCTCAATACTGCAATGTTAGTAACTGACATTACAACTACTACTGCAAGGGATCTTCAAGAGTTAAACACATTGTTCTTCATCCGAATATGAACCGTCGCATGTTGTCAACTTGTATATCTTCAAAAAAATGTTTGTTCTCTTGTATATTACAGTTTCTTGACATACCATACCACTTGTATATTACACTGCACTATATATTTATACTTTTTGTTCCTGTCTTGAGAGATTTTTTGTGTGCTTACTTTATGTTTTTGTCTTGTAATTTAAACTTTGGTGGCACTTTGAAGATTACTTGATTTGATGGCTTAAAGTATTATTCTGAACTTTTTCATTATATTCAGATTAAATGTTGATTATGAGGGAATAAAAAAATGATGTACTGTTGTTATTGGTAAACTATATTGTCATGACAGACATATCTGTCCAAGGAAATGGGCCAAGCCCTCCTTAATCATCATAGTTCATAATAGTGAGTAGTCAAAACTATAAAAACATGTAGGGTCAGTTTATGAAAGTCTCATTCACTAATGACTATAAATCAATTTTAAGCACATGAATTGGTTACAGGGGCCACATGAGTACTATATGATCAAAGCTACCAAAACTTCCCTCTAATATGTCCTGCCGACACTATTTTATATATACTTAATCAATGTTCAGGCAATTAAAGCACAAGCTGAATTGTTTGGTAACAAAAGAATAAAATATAAAAGGAAAAACAAAGTGATGAAACAAAAATGGAGTAGAAGTTATTGTTTATTTCAGATACTAATATGAATTTACAGAAAGATGCACTCTGGTAAAACAGGAAACTAGAATCAGAACTCAAAATTCCAAATACAACCAAAGAACACAATGAAGAAAACTGAATATTTTATACACCTAATTTAAACAGATTAACAAGAATTCAATATCTGTAAGAGTACAATGACCAGTGTCCTATAAGAAATACTTGTGATGAATCGTGTGAATGAATGAAAATGGATGGAGTTGAATAACAGAGAAGCCTGTTTTGGTACTTCAAATTAAATATCTTTGCTTGACCTGTACTGAGTTTCGGAAAGGAATGAAGAAGACCGAACATTGTTTGCTCGTTGAAGCACTGATACAAACACGGACACGACACTGATGCTGAAATGTTGCCACAATAATTTGAGAAAATATAATTGAATGTAACCACATTATTTGTGTCGTGTTGGTAGAGATCTTTTTTTTCTTTTTCTTTTTCTATTCTTTACGAAAACTAACTAGCTCATTTGTTCTCCAATCAAATCAAGGCCTACGAGGAGGAAAGTTATCCCTTGGAAAAGCAGAAAGTAGAAATGAACTCCTTGTGCAGATAGCAGACTTCTGACAGAAGCAGTGAGAAGAAGGAATGCCAAAGTCAGTTCTTTCTTATATATCTTATTAACTTTCTTAACTGGTTCTACAGCTGCTTCTTTGAGTTCCTTCAATTGGTGTAACTCAACAAGTTCGCTGTCAGAAGCTCCTCTATGGATCTTTTGTTGTTCTATTGACTTAGTTTCCCTTTCTGCAGCAGCAAGTAAATCGGACTCCGATGACCTTCCAGCTTTCTTTGTGACAATCCATTCATAAGAGCTTCCCAATTGGAAAAGACCAGATACCATTGCATTGAATTTAGTAACAGACATGGTGTTTTCAAAAAGGAGGTAGGGAACAATAAAAGGAAAAGATTTAGGTGCAGGAAGAATGTTAAGGATTGACATGAATACAGGAACATAGCAGATCAACCATAAAGGGAGTTCAGCCTCTGGGACAAACATGGTTAAAGGAAGGATTATGCAAAATAAAGTGAACGAGTAAAAGGGAAGGATTAATTTCCTTAGCAGAAAAAATAGCAGAATTAAGTTTGCTTTCTTCCATGGTGATACCTGCAGTTAAAGAGAAATTAAGACCTTTTAGGAAGTACATATTGTAAGCAATACTTGCAAATACACAGACTTACTTGTCCTCATCACTATTCTATTTGTTACATCATGCCGTGTATCAGATATACCTTAGATTTCAAAATTGCTGGGAGACACAGCCGGAAAAGTTGCATAGGCCCTGAATGCCAGCGGTGTTGTTGCTTTCTGTAAGCTTCATATGACTCAGGAACTTCACAAAGTACCTGAAATTTTAAAAAGTTTAAGGAGTTTAAGAGATTTCTTTGTGGGTCTTAGCTGAACATGGAATTTTGATTGCTTGAGGGGAACATAACTAGTCATATAACATCCATATAAGAGTTTGGTTCTGTTTGGATAGAGAGCTTAATTAAGCGCTTGTAGCATAAACCCTTTTCATATAAGTACTTATGCAAAAGTTACTTTTATAATCAAAGATAAAATAAAGTCAAATGGTTTTTATATCAGTTAAAAATTGTTTCCATAAGCTATCTTCGGGAGCTTATATAAACAAGTTGTAAGCAACTTATGAACATGTAATAAGTTGTTTTCATAACCTCTGCAAACGGTCTCACAAGTTTTCAGGAAGATAAATTTCCTCACCTTTACATCATTTAGGAAGATAAATTTCCAACCATTGAGATGAGCTCGGACAGCAATGTCCATATCTTCTACCGTTGTCCTCTCTAGCCAGCCTCCAGACTCTTCTAGGGCTTTGATTCTCCAAACACCAGCAGTTCCATTGAAACCAAAAAAATTAAGAAACACACCGTTGACCTGCTGCTCTACTTCAAAATGGAAGCATAAATTTATGTTTTGAAGACGAGTCAACAAATTCTCATCCTTGTTAACATAAGACCATCTAGCTTGGACCAAACCTAGTTCAGGATTGTCCTGTAATAGAAAAGTCATACGCAAATCTTAAAATATGTCAAACAGTCACCAATAAACTAATCTGAAAAGTCATAATTTTCACTTAACCTTGAAATGTGGCACAGTTTGCTTAAGAAAATCAGGATTTGGTTGAAAGTCTGCATCAAATATTGCAACAAATTCATAGTCTTTCACATAGTCACAGCTCATTGCAGAATTAAGATTTCCAGCTTTGTATCCCGTCCTGATTAGGCGATGCCGATAGATTATGTTGATTCCCTTTTGGTTCCACTTAGAGACCTCAGCCTTAATTAACCATTGTATGCTCTCGTCATCAGAATCGTCTAGTACTTGAATCAGTAAACGATCCCTTGGCCAGTCGATTTGGCAGACTGCAGAAATAGATTGCTCGTACACCTGCATAAAGCCAGTTTGTGCAAAGTGAAAAAAAGAAGATAAACTCCATACGTTGTCAATGTCATTCATTGCTTATCATAGTTATAAATTTATATGGAAACTTTTCTACTGCTGCTAGAATAAAACTACTCTTTTAATTATTAAGCGGATTAGTACAATGTCGATTCAGGTTTTGTTTTCTGAGTTTAGAAGGTTGCAGAAAATTTCTGAGGGAGTTAAAAACTTAAAAGTATAATCTGCTATGAATCAAACTCTGATGCACACTTTTCTAATTCTTCTGGCATCTAAAAAAACTGGGTCGTCTATCTTCTTAGGAGATTTGCAAAATCTATTTTCAACTAAATAAATAAAAACATATGTTAGCACAAACGGAATGCAAAAGTCTGGTGTCATACCTCCCTCTCATTGCACATTGGAATTTGAACCAAAACCATTGGATAATTGCACACCGATCCTTCAACATCATCAACCTTGAAGGGGTCCCCACTAATTCTTGGCTTAACCTTCCTGAGTTTGATCCAAAAGCACCCCAAACAAAGAAGCATCCGGTCAACAGATTGGATAACAAACAAAACAATACAAAACTTGGAAAGAGCCTGAATTGGTGGAGCAATGTATTCCGCACGGAAAGTTAACCAAGCAACATAAGCCACATGGAACAACCTTTCGAAATCAGAACTATGAGGAATGTGCAAATTATGATTCCCAAAATGCCAACCTTGAAGGTAAGCAACAACCTCAAAAGCCAAAACAGCCAAAGAAATCACTAAAAACAAACTAATCATCCTAAACAACAGCTTCCCTTTTTCAACAGCCACCCCTTGTCTCTGAATCACCCTTTTCTTAATACCTCCAAGCAAATCCCAAACAACAGTCACTAACCAAGTAACACAACCAACCGCACGATGAGCCTTGAGAAGCAAAACCCATGTAACTTGTCTAGCATTCTTGCCACGATTCTTCTCCACCGGCCTAAATGCAGCATCTGCACCATTAATCTCCACAACAGAGAAATTCGGGTTCTCCATTTTCACCACCACCGGTGTCCCTTTCTGTGTATCCTTCACCCACCAACTCGAAAAATCCAATCTTGGAGCCATTGACACAACAGATCACAGTTTCACTTTCACACACACAAATAAACAAACACTTGGTGTGTAATTACTAAAACTTGATGAATCTTTTCAACGACACATAACACTAAAAGAGTAAAGACACAACATGGATCTGAAAAAACAACAACCTTAGATTTAGAACACACAACACAACGTTAGAGTGAGGTTGTTTATGAAGTGAAGAAGACACCTAACATTGGAAAAGCCACATTATGAGGGGAAGCAAAGTATCAAATAAATCTATTATCTCTGCAGCTGTAAGAATAAGACACTAACTTTCAACCAATAAATCCACGTTGCCCTTTCTCATCATCAACAACAAAAACACTACATTAATTACAGTTTCATCGTAGAATCGGTTAACTTAACCAAAATCAAAATTAGTAAAACATTAACTTAGTACTAGGAAAAAATGCACCTGAGGAAAACAAGGTTGACTCAAATGGTGCATATTAATATCATTGATTATTTTTAAGGGCATACTAATAGTTTCAAGATTCATAATTGAAAATAACTATAAATAGAAAAAGAACAAAAACTTTATTAAATTAATTTTATTCTTTATTGATGAACTTTCTATAATTATAAGTATAAAATTGATAAATGTTTTAATGACATCTTTTAATTTTTAATATAATTTAAATTATTACTATTTATTAATGATATTAATTTCACTTAATTATTTTTCAATTTATCAGAAAAATATATTAGAATTGTAATAATGATATTTATTATATATTTTATTTATTTATTAAATTTAATTTTATAATAAATTTTATGCAAAATAAAAAACAAATAGACAACACATTACATTGTTATGGTTTTTTTTATAATTAAACTATTTTTTTAAATTATATATTTTTTCATCTTTAACAATTTTATAAAATATTAGTGAAAAAATTATTTATATATTTTTAATTTATATGAAATAATTATTTAAATTAATTATTTAAAATGAGAAAATATTAATTAAATAGTATGATTATAATTAATATAATGTTTATTTTAATATTACAAAAAATAAAACTAAAATAATTAAAAATAATTTTTTAAATAACTTTTATTGTGAAAATGGAGGGAGTAAGATGAATTTATATTTTTTAAAGCTAAGTTTGTAAAGATATCCATGTTAGTAGATTACAAAAATATTATATGGGTCTACCCACCCACTTGAAGATTCTAGAAATAATGTGATCTATCTATCATTACAATAATGTTTACTATTTAATCAATAGCCAAAGCATGTGAAAAGATGTAGTCATTCAAGGATCTTGTTAATTTTTAAATTTAAAAAAAATGTAAATCGAATCCAGCAAATAAATGATTTAAACCAGTTCTAACATTATTTAATAAGAAATGGCAGCTTCTTGGGGAATATTCTTATATTCTTTTTATAATATCTGATGCCAACACATTAGGTTAGGTAATAATAAAAACTTTTAAAATGAAAAATATATAGAAAAGGTGAAAATTTATGAAGTTTTCATTTTATTTTGGATTGAACTTTCTCTCTTCTTTGAGTTTGTTACAAATAGTTTCTTATTAGTATTGTTTTTGATTATTCATTTGTCTTCTTGATCTGCAAATTTGATTGCAGAAGTTCATATTGTTTCTTTTATTTTGTTGATCCATGTGATTACAGTTCTTACTACTTTCATAGATCCAAATCAACATGCCTCTGTACTAAACTCATCAAGTTGATATTGAATCAGCATTTTAATGTAACTCAATTGATGTCACTCCATAATTAAATGGTTTGAATTATTTGGCTTGAAGTAAAATAATGAAACAAACTCTGGGATAAAAAGATAAACTTAAATTCATTGATGGATTAATCAAAATTTCTGTTATAGATGATTTAAATAGAAGACTCTGAGAAAGGAGGAAATTTTTACTAGAATAATCCATTCTTTTTATAAAAAATTTTAAAATACCTTATTTTTCAATTTATTTTTTAAAGTATTTCATTTTGGAGTACTGATTGTATAGTGGTGTCATGTGGATTGACGACTCTTCACAAAAGTATTAGTGGTGTTGTCAGTTAGATTGGAGACATCATATAGTGCTTCAAATTCAATTGACGACTGGGTCTTAATCTTAAAAAGGAGTCACCAATTGATAGGGAGACAAGATGCATTATGTATTTTTTTTAACAAAAATAATAATATTAATTATTAATTAAAAATGATATTACATAAATTAATGTTGGCGATCGGGTTGGTCATACCGGCCACCGGTTCCACATCCTTTAGGCACCCTCACTCATTGCACTCGCTTCTCTCGTTATTGATTCACTCCAAGTGTTTGAGGAGTAAAAGTCCCAGAAACATTTTCAGCTGATTCTCTAAGAATTTCTTACATTTCCATGAGGTCTTGTGTGTTGAAACTGAGTGTGTGACCCATGGCAGAGTAGTTCGGATGTGATGTAGGGGTCATTGGTGTGCGGCCTAGATGATTGAAGGGGGACATTGGTGTGAATGATTCGTTGGTGAAAGGTTGAAATGATAGCGGTGTTTGACAGTCATAAGGTTGTTGGGATGTTTGACTGTGTAAGTTAGGGTATGATGTCTGAGCGTTTTGCCTATGGAAAGATGTTTTGGCGTTATGGCTATGGTATGATGTACCCTCATTTTGGCTATATCTTGATGTTGTGTTGGGGGCATAACCATATTGAGTTTCTTGATAATAGTCATTTTGTTGGAGATGGTATGGGGGACGCTCTTGGTATCGTGGTTGGGCGTTTGACATGTTTGGATGGTGGGTTTGTGTGTTAGTGGGTTGGTAATTCTGTTGGGTAAGGGGTTGTGAGTAACATGGCTGATAATTTCCCGGTGGGTTAGACGCTAAAGCTTCTTGTGTGTAGGTGGTTTATCGTGGGTCGTATAGATACCTATCTTCGGAGACAAACCCAATTACAACTGATCTGTACCAAACCATATAGTTATTAGTTGGTATATACGGGGTTGCCATCACCGGGTCACGTAAGACATGGGCGCTGTGGTTCTTCCATTTACGACACTCGGATTTTGCAAAATCCTTCTAGTCGAGATAATCCCATTGATCATTAACTTTTTTTAGATGCCATTTGCCGAGGTCAATTGGGGGATCTGGGATGTTTTAATGCATTCTAAATTGTAGTTTGACACTGTAAATGTTGTGCATCTCCACAATGGTGAATCTGATGATCGGCACGCATGCAGTTCAAACTGTTGCATCTTCCTCTCTGACTTCATGTAGGTGTTCCATATTTAGATATGGACGTCAAATGAACTGAAGAAGAGAAAAATATTAGATGATAAAATTGTTGATATAAAAAATAAATTAATTTGTTTAGAGGCCTTACATCTCCAGGTGTTAGGTGATCCAACAAATTGCGGTATTGAATGATACAATGTCTAGGACATCTATTGTAACTCATACCCTTAGTCGGCCATCTAAACAACAAAAATTTCAAATTCAATTAGTTAGACACAATAATTAGTAAGGTGAAATAAACTAATATTAAGTTATTAACTTACTTTTGTGCATACGGGAAGGAAAAGCTGTTGTGGTTGACAGGCGCTAGGGATGTCAATCTAAACCAACCCCGTGCTTGAAGTAAAACGACGCATCCATAAAAAGTAGATGTGTTTTTTTTGGCGCACTTACGCAAAGAGCTATACAAATAAGACAGACAAGTAGAACCCCAACTATATTCTGTTGTTTTATCTAGGTTTCTCAGTAAGGGTAAATATATAACGTGCATAGAAGAACCAGTGCCTTCGGGAAATAAAAATAAACCAATTAAAATCATAAGATAACACCTCGTTTTGATTATTTTCATTTCTTCGGTAGAATCTTAATCTAATATAAAACCGGTGTACCATGATTTGAGGCGCGAAAGTAAGATACCTTGGTCTCTTGAGTTCTCATCCATCAAGTCGACACCCAAAAGTTCCTCATAAATTGAACCATCAAGGTTTGTTAGTCAATTGACAGCCTTACCATCAATACGCAAAACGAGTAACATGTATACATCCTCTAACGTCACGGTACATTCACCGGTTAAAAAAAAGAAGGTGTGTGTCTCTGGGCGCCATCTCTCTTGCAAAGCTAGTATAAACTTTGCATCAACCGAGTAAGACATGATTTTGCTTACATGTCCGAAACCGGCGAGCTCAATATAAGGTTTAATCAATTCGTCGGGGGCAACATATACATAGGCACGAGGACGAAACCTAAAGACATCCTATGAAATAATAAACAAGTTTGTTTACACATTATCAATAAACAACATAAAACGTACACATTAACACATTATCAATAAAGAAAATAACACTTACATAATTCTCGATATTTGCGATGTGTCTCTATGCGTTTCACCCATTGTCAACAGAGACACTATAACTAATTAAATGTTTCTGATCCTAGTGAGACTCTAGACTTGATAAAATGTATCTGATACTATTTCTCTGCAACAATGTTTCTGATGATGCATCATTCAATACCTCTAGCTTCTTTATATAGCATTATAAGAGTCACATCTGAACATTACACGCAGCATGGTGTCGCCACATGAATTGGAAACCGTGTTTACTCCTTCCAAAGGGTCGCAAGCCCATTTGGAGAGTCCTGGGAATCTGAGCATAGCTGAGCATGTAGCCTGGAGATGTCTCATGCATGCATGGCAGGCTGACAATCACATGGCGACACTGTGTGCTCAGACTGCACCTTGTCTCCATGTGAATTGGTGCCCCTATTCAAAATTTGTACCTTGGCGCCAATTTATCTTGCGACCTCATAAAATGCTCCCGTGCATTTTCATTTGAAGCAGCCAAAACTAGTAAGTCTCTAACAAGTGATCCTCTGATGTCATCTGCACTGAGATACATTATTAACACCCACTATAACAGAGAGACATATGTCTCTGATGACATTGAGTTTGGTTTTCAACACATCGATGTCGTCCGATTCACAATCAATAGAAACACAAGTTTCTTGTATTT